AGAAGACCTTGGCGATTGCGGAGGAGATTGGGAGGTTGTTGGGGAATGAGGTGACGCCTTGAGGAATAGTCGAATACAAATGTACACGCATTAAGACAAAAGAAAAGGCGCAAGTGTCAAGACGAATACTGGATGTCTTCAGAATAGTGCACCAAGGTTGCCCTCACGAAAAGACCCTCAGGCTCGAGCGCGAAAGACAGACAAGTGCAAGCCATGGGCTGTGTGATCTGCACGTGTGGCGTGAGTGTTGAAAGTTCGGCCAATTGAGTCAAGGGCTCGACGTGCGCCTCAGTGTGGCGCTGGCGCGTAGCTCTTCATAGAAGGTGGGAACAGCCTGGCGCGTGCGCAGTCTAATACGGCAATACGGAGCGGATTCCTGGTAGCAGAACGTCATCGAGTACGGGGAGGATGCTCAGATCGGGTCCATGCATGTGCCTCAATCTTAATGCTCCTTACCCACAGAGACGGTCGTACAACAGATGCCATCGTGAAAGCAGTGTTGTTCTGCTGCGCGTAACAAAATCACTGTGTCGCTGTCAGCCTCAAAGAGAAAAGGCCTAGGCCAAACGGCCGTCTGTAGTTTCAGATTAAAGACCAGGCCAGCGGTTGTTTGGCTCAAACGGCGGGCGGTTGGCGAAGTAGCGCGCCCACCAGCGCCAGTGACGCCGCCAAGCCCCCGACTGACCGCGTATCAGGGAATGCGAGGGTTGAAACACGTCGCCGTGTGCGCCATGCCAGTCACCTCCAAATTCATAATGAACCCTCTCTTTGACGTTGTCATTCACACCCTCTGTGCGACTCTACTGCCCTAATAATTTATCTGCAACCGCAAACAACCGCGGCTGCTTCTCCCTGCCATTCTTCCATGGCCATCTGCGCTTAAGACAGGGGTTCCGCTTCACAACTTGACCGCAAACGCGACCCGCACCGCTCTGAGCCATGTCCGACCCCAACAAGCCATCGCCAGAGTCGCGGCGGAACCAGAGCATCGAGAACTTCGCCGCCTCGCTGTCCACCGCCGCCGCCATTTTTGGTATCCAGATTGTTGTTTTCTTGATTCTGAGTGGCAACTGGAAGCTGCACAAGGGAGTCACCAAGAAGAAGACCGTAGATGATGCAGACCAGGCCGACAAGGCGGCGGCACGACAGAGTCTGTTCCACAAGATATAGTATGCGACGCCGCTTCCCTGCCTACATACCCCCCATGTGCTAACCATTGCCAGCTACTACAAGACCGCCTTCGTTCCCGTAGCCAAGCGCATCGCAGCGCCCACGACCGCCATCGACTCATTCCGCAATGTCTTCACCATCAGCGACAAGGAGCTCATCCGCGTCGCCGGTGTCGATGGCTACCTCTTCCTCCAATACCTGCAGCTCCTGCTCCGCATCTTCATACCCATGGCCCTCATCATCCTGCCTGTCCTCCTGCCCATAAACCGAAAGGGCGACGAGCCCGGTGTCTCGGGCTTGGACTCCTTCGCCTGGCCCAATGTCGCCTTTCCGAATAAGCGACACCGCCTGTGGGCGCACTGCATCATTGCTGTATCCGTTGTATGCTGGGTGTGCTTCAATTTCTACTTGGCGCTGAGGCAATTCGTGCGCCTCAGGCAGACCGTTCTCACCAGGCCCGAGCATCGCATTCGAGCCTCTGCTACCACTATTCTCGTGCAAAGTATCCCTGAGAAGTGGCTCACGGTTCCTGCGCTCGACGCCCTCTACGATGTCTTCCCCGGCGGTATCAAAGACATCTGGATCAACCGCAACTACGACGATCTTATGGACAAGGTCAACGACCGAACCAAGATCGCCCGGAGCCTTGAAGCGGCCGAAACAAATCTCATCATCACATGCACCAAAAAGCACAAGAAGATGGAGGAGAAGGCCGCCAAGGAAGCTGGAAAGAAGAAGTCCAAGGCGGAAAAGAAGCACGACGAGGCCATGCAGAACCACGCAATCAACCAAGAGACTCACGAACAAGGTGTGGACGCCGGTAACCCCCACGAGATCGAGCAACAACTCCAAAAGGTCCTGGCAGAGTCTGCATCATCATCATCCTCTTCTTCGCGGTCGACTTCACCTGATCGCAAGCGCGGCGTGAACATGAACCCATTGCCCTTTTTAGGAGAAGGCATGCACGCTGTCGGCAAAGGCTTCCGCGATGTCGGCCAGGGTGTGGATCGCTTCAACAAGAACGTCTATGGTGGAATGCGAGGAGTTTTCGGCGGAAAATCCCGTCAGGCTGGTCAAGCGCGGAACCCTGAGGAAGCACAGCCAAGTTTCGACGGCAGCGATGAGGTTCCAGCATCGTCACCCACATCTGCGGACTACCACCAAAGGGCCGCTAGCAGCGATACCCACACTCCATTGGCCACCAAAGAGAAGTACGATTCTGAAGGTACTGTGACAGAGCCCAACTCTCCTCAGACGAACTTGAAAGCACCCGCAGCCGAGACGGACACCAAAGACGACAAGCCTGTACAACCTGCGTGGAAGCACCCGCTCAATAAGCTCAAGGCTATGTACGTCGGTCAGGGTGACTTCATAAGCCCAAGTCCATTCGTGAAAGAGGGAGAAGAGCTACCATTAGAAGTCAAGGATGCCAGTAAGATCAAGTACGATCTATCAGGCTTGTACGACGAGTCTATGGAGGAGGATGGCGAGGACGCTCTCTGGAGAAAATACATGAAGCCAAAGGACAGAGAAACGATGCGTCTGCCCATCTTGAACTTCTCGTGGTGGCCGTCGCTGCCTCTGATTGGCAAGAAGGTGGACACCATCTACCATTGCCGCAAGGAGCTTGCCCGCCTCAACGCTGAGATTGCCGACGACCAGGCTCACCCAGAGCGCTTCCCACTGATGAACTCGGCCTTTATTCAATTTAACCACCAGGTCGCTGCACACATGGCCTGTCAGTCATTGAGTCACCACATTCCCCGGCAAATGAACCCACGAACCGTCGAGGTTAACCCCAACTACGTCATCTGGGACAACTTGACCATGAAGTGGTGGGAGCGCTACCTACGCATGTTTGGAGTCATTCTGCTCATCGTCGGTCTGATCATCTTCTGGGGTATTCCTGTCAGTTTTACAGGAGCTCTGTCCCAAGTCGACTCTCTGACCGAAACATTGCCATGGCTTGGTTTCATCAATGATGCTCCCGACTGGGTCGTTAGTTTGATTCAGGGTGTGTTGCCACCAGCCTTCTTGGCCATTCTCTTCGCTATTCTGCCCCTACTCCTGCGCTTCCTGGCTGGTCTTACCGGTACGACGACATTTGGCGAACGCGAGTTGCTTGTGCAGAACTTCTACTTCGCCTTCGTATTTGTCCAACTGTTCCTGGTTGTTTCCATCTCTACCGGTATCACTTCGACCATTGACGATCTGCTCAACGATCCACTCAGTGTCCCCCAGACATTGGCGCAGAACCTCCCCAAGGCCGCCAACTACTTCTTCTCTTACATGATTCTGCAAGCGCTTAGTATCAGTTCCGGTACTCTGCTGCAAATTGGTGCCGTCGTTGTTATCATCTTCCTGCGTTTCCTGGACACCACACCGCGCGAGAAGGTTTCAAGGGTGTTGCAAAGGCCGGGTATCAACTGGGGTACCATGATCCCGGTCTATACCAACTTTGCCGCCATTGGTAAGTTTGTCTATCGAGATAAACGTTTACATAAACTAACGATGCCCAGGTCTCATCTACTCAGTTGTCGCGCCCTTGATCCTAATCATGATGTTGATTACCTTCAGTCTCTTCTGGTTCACCTACAGGTACCAGATGATCTACGTCAGCTACGCCAAGGCCGAAACCAACGGTCTCATCTTCCCCAAAGCGGTCAACCAGCTGTTCACTGGACTCTACTTCCTCGAGCTCTGTATGATCGGCTTGTTCTTCCTACAGGAAGACGAGCAGGGGAGGCAATCGTGTTTCCCTCAGGCTATTATCATGATCATCATAATGGTCTTCACTGTGCTTTACCAGGTCGTGCTGAACAGAGCGTTCGGGCCTCTCTTCACGTACTTGCCAATCACATTCGAAGATGAGGCGGTCCTGCGCGACGAAGAGTGGCAGCGGGCACAGGCCAGCAAGTGGGAACGGGAGGACGAACACCAAGGTCTTATGTCGCAGGAAGACGCCCAGCGGACAGCCGAGGAGCGCGAACGAGCCCACCTAGACGAACAAAACCGCCTCGAGGAAAGGAAGGAACGCGAGGCAGCCCATGGCCCTGGATCATACGAGCTCAGCAATCTGGATGGTAACATGCCACCCGCCGGCTACGGGCAGTCACCTCGACCCGACAATCGTGCGCGCAACTCAAGCTGGGCTGACCGCTCACAACGCTCCCGTCGCAGTTCGCGCTCGCAGTCCCACCACAAGAAGCGCAAGGACCCATTAGACATTATGACCAACGCACTCAAGAAGGGTCTCGACGACGTCGCAAAGCCCATCCGCGACGCAGAAGCGCAAGTACTACCCGCCGGCAACCTCTTCGACGAAGTCGACGACGAGCTCGCCGACATTGAGCCCGAAGCCCGCCAGAAGCTCATCAAGCGCTCTTTCCAACATCCAGCCACCCGCGCCATCCAGCCCGCTGTTTGGATCCCGCACGATGACCTGGGTGTTGCTAAGGACGAGATCCAGCGTACTAGTGCATTTACCAAGCGCGTGTGGATCACGAGTGTGAATGCGCGGTTGGATGCGAGTGGCAGTGTGATTTACAGGGGATTGCCGCCGGATCGGGATCCGTTTGAGAATATTGAGGTTTAAACGGTTTGTTGTTCAGAAAGATGGGAGGTGGACTTGTTGTATCATCATTGCGGTGTGGGTGTCGTTTCTTTTCTCTTTCATGTTAGCCGTTCGCGGCACCCTTTATAGCATACAAGCATAGCGTGGAGTTTCATGGCATTGGGGGGGCATCAGATGCATTCGTCTTCTTCTAAGACTATTACTACCTATTCCGTATAACTACCTAACATTAGAGGTATAAGACCTCATCCATTATTCAAAATATCAGATCCTCCAGATTATCGTTCCAGCCGCACACAAACTCGTCTGTTGCCGCATTCGCAGCCAAATCATCCGCTGCAGCTCTAGCTTCAAAGGCATCCATGAGCTCCTCAAAGGAACCCCGCTCCACGATCTCAGATTCTTGCGGTAGCGTGGCGTCCTCCAGCATACTGTCAACCGCTGGACACGCCGGGAAAAAGGAAGCCGGGAGGTCGTCAGCGGGCGCCACATCCATGATCCAAGGTTCTTGGACCATCGGGGCGTCCGCCCATATACTCTCAGCCGCTGAAAACGCGGGGAAAGAGAAGGCCGGGAGGTTGTCAACGGTTTCTACAGCTTCGATGCTGTCTTGCCCACGCTCTTGTAGGCGGCAGGGGGTTCCTGCCTCGACGCGTGCGTCGATGGTGTACTCGTTGAAGTCGGCAAACGGGGTCGCTTCGAACGCGAATTGTTCCTCTAATGAGGAGTTGGTGGTCGTGGTGGTGTCAGGAGTTGGTTCCTGGGCTACGACGACCGGCCTAGTCTTGGGAGGTCTTCCCCTCTTCTTTGGTACCTTGGGCACCTCGTCCATAGGCTTCGCCTTAGGAGGCCTGCCCCTCTTCTTTGGTACCTTTGGTACCTCGTCTTCTTCTCCTGACTGCCTCTTCCTCTTGGTAGGCGCGGAGGGAACGGGGACGTTAGGAGTTGTTGGCCATGTTGGAGGCACGTCCCCGCCATCATCCCGTGTGAGGTCGAAACTCTGACCATGTGTAGTAGCATCGATAATGCCACTGTGCTGCTGCTGAAACCCAGGCGTGAAGTTCCTCCTAACATTCTGGAACATAGGCTTTGGGACGAAAACAGAAGGAAAGCGATTAGTAGCAGCGACGCCAGGAGTGCTCACGGCGCCGGGCTGTGACCTACCCGGCATGTGAGAAGGGTATTGCTGGTTGGGGACGAAACCGGCAGGAAAGCAATTAGTGGCAGCGACGCCAGGAGTGCTCACGGCGCCGGGTTGTGACCTACCCGGCATGTGAGAAAGGTATTGCTGGTTGGGGACGAAACCAGCAGGAAAGCGATTTGTGGCAGCGACGCCAGGAGCATTCACGGCGCCGGGTTGTGACATACCCTGCATGTGATAAGGGTATTGCTGGTTGGGGACGAAACCAGCAGGAAAGCAGTTGGTGGCAGCGACGCCGGGAGGAGGGAGCTGTTGTGGCATGCTCATTCGTTGTGGCATGCTCATTTGTTGCGGCATGCTCATCTGCTGTGGCATGCTTAATTGTTGGGGTGGGTAGGTTGGCCTTGGAGCGGAGATGGTGATCCACTGCTGCAAGTTTGTACTCCACATGCGCTGGTGTTGGGTTGCGGTATAGGCGGAGTAAGACATGTTGGTGTATGTGGAGGGTGTTTGTTGTGCGTGGGTGGGTGGAGAATTTGGTAGTTCAAGATACTTTTGAAAGTTGTGATGGTGAAAGTAATTTGGTCTGAGAGTTTGAGATATTAGGAGAGACGGAAGGGGATACCAGCTATTTATTGCAGCGCAGGAAAGAAGATGTTCGGACTGCGATATATCATAACCTTGGTTCATTTTGAGGTGTTTTCATGACTGTATGCTATGGATGTAACAGCGGTGTTGGAAGCCGAGCACATAGGCGCAATCAGGCCAGTAGCGAGCATTGCGATTACCTGAGAATACACGGAACCGTCCTCCAAGGCATCCATTTGTCGCTTAGACCACAAGAACAAGCCTATCGAGTCGATGTCCATTACGCACGACCTCGCACACATGGTTGATTTGTGACTCTTCTCAAAATTTCCTCGAGCCGAGCCGAGCCACTATGCTAGCCGCTTGTGTCGGGGCCACAACCCGTGATGATACCAAAATCCCCTAGAGTCCAGCTTCCGACCCAAGGCACCCATATCGCGCGGTAAAGCACGGATACCCTGCTCTTCCATGAGTTCGCCCACCCATTTAGCGAACTCCTGGCGCGTCTCCACTTCTTCCTTGGTCATAGACGACTCAGTCATGGAGCTGAAGCTCATGATGAGGTCGAACCAGTCGTACACGCGCATGTCAGCAATGATCCAGCGCTTTCCCGGGGTAAACTTCCGATGAGTTGCAATTATCGCTCTTGCGACATCTTCGCCGTGGATGAAGTGCACAGCGCCTCGCTTAGCCACATCGTCTTTGGACTGGCCGAGGCGAGGCAGCCATTTCGCGGGGACGCGCTCGCCGCCGTATAGACCCGATAAATTCAGCACACAGCCGTGGAGCGCTAGCAACTCGTCTTCCGCAATAGCTCGCTTGTCCTCCTTGTCGTATGGCGCGTCATCAGCGCTCCAGTCATTGGGCAGTTTATTGAAGATACCAGTGGATCCGAGCTGCACCCAATTGTTCTTTGCGCCGTGAACCGAACGATAGAGACCTACGATGGTCTTTGACTGCGAGTGCCCCACCAATGGAAAAGTGATGAGTACGGTTTGCGCTGCTGGCAGGCGCTTGTATGGCTCCGCATCACCAGACTCCGGGTCGAACTTGAACGGGATCGTCTTGTCTCTTCCGGTGGTGGTGGTCGCGGCATACGTAATATCGGTGTCCTCCAGTTGCGGAATCAGGAACGTGGACGTCCATCCAGCGCCCAGAATCAGTAGGTCCACCTCTTTCATTTGCTCGCGCAGCATTCTGTGTTGCGGGTGTGGCGATTGTTGCCGTGCGATATGCAGCATACACAAGAGATACTTTGTTTGGATGTTATAATTTGCAAGAGGTTGAGCCAATGGGTGACACAAGGTGGGAGCTACAGCTGGTGTTGTCGCGTGAAGTCGTGACGTCTCCACATGAGCCAAATTAGCTTGCTTGATGCACGGCCCATCTGTTCGGCGCAACCATCCACACGGGAATTCTAGCTAACCTGCAGGAGGCTGATGTTATTCATTTGAAAGCCTACATACTTCAGACTTTTCCGGACTATAGGAGGCCATGCACTGTGTATGCTGCATCTCAAGGCGGAGGTAAGTACCACGTTGAAAGCGACGAAGATACTCTGGGTTTGGCCTCTAGAAACTTGGTTCTAGAGGTGTCAATCCAGCCATAAGAATCCAATGGGAGCAAGTTGAATCGTACCCATGGCAGGCGCCATCTCAGTCCAGACGCCAGTTTCCTGATTAGTTAAATTGTAGAGACGTGGATTGTCGTAAATCTGCTTTCAATCGAAATCTGGAATTGACGTCATGTGCGGGAACTTGTTCTCACGTGCCAGCGCGGTAGCCCATTACATCTGAAACGCGCTGATTGGCTGCTTCCACTTCCAGGGGCCGCGTCTTCGTCATCACTATGAGCTGCGCATCAGCCCGCAAGCTCAGATAAGTTGTCGCAAAGATCCTTCGTTCATTGCTTGCTGTTTGCGCATTCCAATTGACCATCCAATGCGAACATCACGAGTTTCCCGAGACGCGTCCCGCGTTGTCGCAGCGAGTCGCACGCAACGAGCGTTACGTCAGACACGAAACGCGACCAATGCGCCAGCTCCCGTCAAACGCGAATCAGGCAGCGACGAGAATGCTGGATCAGATTCAGACCTCAGCTCTGCGCCAGCAGACTCTGCCTCGGATGGCGAGACGCGACGAATGCCTATGAAGAGGAAAAGAGGCCAGGATATGCCAATCCTTGTAAAGAAGGAGGTAGAGGAGACATCAATCACTGCAATCGCGTCCCCGAAGAAAGTCGCCAAGGTCAAGAAAGCGCGTCGTGCGCCTGCGAAGAAGACCAAGACCAGCGATGGAACTGTCACGATGGAGCCACCTGCGAATTGGGAGGAGATATATACCCTGACGAGAGAGATGCGGAACGAGAACCTTGCACCGGTGGATACCATGGGTTGCGAGAGCCTGGCGAAGGACATCAGATCGCCTCGCGATCGAAGATTTCAGACGCTCATAGCTTTGATGCTGAGCAGCCAGACCAAAGACACTGTCTTAGCGCCTGTCATGCGAGGCATGCAGGAGAGGATGCCTGGGGTATGTGATACAAGGCTATACGGCGATTCCTAGCTAACATAGTGCAGGGCTTCAACCTCGAATCGGTCCTCGCCTTAGAACCCCCCGAACTGAACGCGTTCATCAACAAAGTCGGCTTCCACAACCTCAAGACCAAGTACATTAAGCAGACAGCCGAGATATTGAGAGACAAATTCGACGGCGAAATTCCAGATACTATCGAAGGGCTCGTGTCGCTACCGGGTGTCGGACCTAAGATGGGGTACCTGACGATGAGCGCAGCTTGGGGCAAAACAGAGGGCATTGGTGTCGATGTCCACGTCCACCGCATCACCAACCTATGGGGCTGGCACAAGACTCAGCAGCCAGAACAGACGCGTGCAGCACTGGAGTCATGGCTACCAAAAGACAAATGGCATGACATTAATAACCTGCTGGTGGGCTTTGGGCAAACAATATGCCTGCCCGTGGGTAGGAAGTGTGGCGATTGCAAGTTGGCGGAGAGAGGTCTCTGTCCCTCGGCAGTCGTAGCCAAGAGCACGAAAGTCAAGAAAGAAGCTGTTGTGAAAGTAGAAGCTCCCAATGGCAGCGAAGAGGCGGTGGTGAAAGAAGAGAAGGTGGTGGCTGAAGTCGATGAGATCAAAGCAGAAGATGTGGAAGTTGCGATAGACATAGAAGATATTGGGCAGGCGCCACGAAGGAGGCCGCAGAGAAAGAAGTAGTAAGTAGTCCTAAAACATATACTGAAGCCATGGCACGGCGTCTGACCTTCAAATCAGAAGCGCACACCTTGAATACAGTATTACATTTTGTCGCGTTGGTTTGGTGTTTAGCAGCAAACGCTCTGGTACGGTCCTGGAGTGGGTCCTTTCGTCATGCAGACATTGGGACCATATCGCGCCTTCCAGTCTTCACCAGGCAACAGCACGCGGTCGAGCTCTTGTCTTCATTCCTCAATCTACTCACCGTGAACTTCTGCGAGCGCCCCCAAACGAGTGCCGACAGCCCTTTCTTCACATCCTTGTCCAGACAATTCACTGCGTACCAGCCAAGTGCTGCCTGGGTCAAGCACGGTCTCTGGTCCCTTGCGACCTCATCCGTGGTACTCAAATACGGTCCCCCACGCCTACTTTAGGATTCGCGATTGGCCCACCCCTCAACCGCACCTGAGAAGAGAAATTCCACCGATCTCACTTCCGCAGACGCAGCCCACAACGCCGCTGCACCTACACCACAGCAGCTAACTACCACAAGGCTCAACGACCAGCACCCACTACGACGCCATTCACCACTTTGGGAGCCAGCACCATGCCATCTCGACCAGAATACGAGGCGCCTACTCGGAGTCAGTCACAACGTGAGGGCCGTTGCACTGCATCCGAGCCAACAGAATCCGATCCTGCATACGTCCCCATACTGCAACGCGCCTTTCCGCGCGTCGCGATCCTACTGACATGCGTTATCTACCTCGCATCCTCATTCGCAGCTGTCTACGTCGGATTCCACGGCATCGCGAACATGATAAACCCTCGACATAACCAAGCGGTAGACGAGTACTTAGTGCTTTCAACATCCAAGTACACAGAGGATGCACTATACAAGAATCTGGACACACTTCTCTCTAGTCAACTAAACCGCGGCTTCATGGAGACTCATGAAGACTGTCTTGTCCGCGGTCTAAAGGAGGCCAACTACGAACTCTACGGCCTCGGCTTTCAGTACCCTGACATGCGCACGCAGGTCATGGACTGGACAATGGAGAATTGTGGTAGACTGCAGTACACGCCACAGGTGGTGATACAGGATCCAACCCCACAGCAGGCTGTGCTGACATACTGGGCGGATGCGAGCTATCGCTCTCGCCGCATGCTTGAGGGAGCTCTGGGAGCCGTGCAGCAGCAGGCTCGTCGTTTCTTGAAGCTACTTTCGAGCGCGTTCACGAATAGGAAACCATCTCCCCTCACCGAACACGTTCCTGTTAGTGCCAAAACTAGCGGAACGCTTCCTCCGAGTCGAGCCCTGCCCAAAGTACCGTTCGGCTTCGCTCTGCGCTGCGAGTCCACCGAACCATGCCGCCTAGTCTACCCATCCGGTTCTTCTAAGCGTGCAAATAAAGTCAGCGTCTCACGCGAGGTCCTCGCGAAGCTTAAACGCGAGATCAAAGAAATGCGGGACGCCAGCCGCAAGGTCAAAAAAGCTAAATGGGCTACGGAGCAGGTTGTGATCTTTTTCGACTACATCCACGCCTCTATCTTGGTGGTCATGTTTGCGATCATCTTCAGTGTGGCACCGTTCGTCATACCCAAGGCCCTTCGCCCTCCTCCCCCTTCTCGCAAGCCGGAACAGATCAAAATCATGCCCGCATCCCTGCATTTTTGTTTTGTAGGGAGACTGATATCAGAGCTGTTGTTTTCGTACCCAATACAGCTCCCGTATGGCGCCCGGTGGGCAACGCCCTTCCAGCTCTACTTCCTGTTCGTTGGTAACACGATGCTTCTTCAATTCTTCATCATTAGCGGTCCGCGGTTCGAGAATATCAACCTCGTATACAAACAGATCAAAGAGCTCTACTTCATCGCCCGAGGGTGGGAGGTACCTGACGGAGCGATGGACAGCATGTTGACTTGGTACGGAGTTCACATTCAGCCGGCGGACCCCAAGCCCAAGCCTACGGAGGTTCCTGGTGGAACGATGGATAACATACTCGCTTGGAACGGAATTCGCTTTGAAGCGGTGGACTCCAAATTCAAGCTTCCGGAGGCACCTACTGGCGCGATGGACAAGATGCTCTATCGGTGCGGAATTCAATATCAATACGCGGACCCCAAACCCAAGCCGACGGAGGAACCGGCCACGGTCAAAGTAACCATGTCTTCCCCATCTGATAACCGCCAACAGCACGCGCAGTCGCACTCATCGCACCAGGGTCTGGCCGCTCCGAGCAGTTCACCCCAAGAAGGTCCCAAGGCGCACTTCAAGAAGGTCCAAGAAGGTGCTGAGGCACACTTCAAGAAGGTTCAAGAAGCGTCAAAATCTCAGCCGGCCGAGTATATCGATGTTCCCGATATCGGATCCCTCGTCGATACTGACAGCGAGACCGAGTCTGAGGACGAGCATGGAAGTTTCGTCGACCTGGCCTGTGGCGTTACGCCTCAGGTCAGCGATGTGGAATCTGGCTGGTCTATTGTGGATGCTTAAGACTGACTTGAACAGCTAGTATGGGATATGACACGGTTGTTGTCTGATGGCATGTAGTATGGGAGTTGTCAGGCATGTCAGCGCTAGAGCTGTTTCGTCTGGCACGTGTGGTGCAAGTATGGTATATGTACAAGAACATGGTTCTTCTCGATCGATGTCGGCCTCAACGGCTGTCGGTATCTACTAGTAGTGTCAGATCAATATAAATGATAATTTCATGTTATCCGCCCATTCGTGACCATGATACCCAGAAATGTCGAGCATGAAGATGAGATGGTTGCAAGGTTGGAAGCCAGTGAAAATTGAAACAATCTACACCTCTTAGAAAACTTATCTAACTGGCACTATGTCAATGTGCCCCGTAAGGTAGGGTGATGGTGACAGGCCGGGAGGGTGAATAGAAAAACCACCACAATCTACGGTTTTTGCGACAAGTTACTTGTTTAGGAAGGAGTTTGATGTGAGATGAGATGAAACAGAGTTGGAAAGCCCGACTTTACATGTACACCAGTCCAGCGACACCATGAAATCATACCACCAAAGACAGATAACTATGCAAGAAAGTAACATTAGAAGTACAATACACTACCACCAGCTAGATCTAACACAAGAGGTGAGCAACCAATCTCAAAACGCTCTAGAACTCCAGCGCTTTTACAAATCATCCCACACATCCCCCTCTCATCTATTTCTTGCCATTTCCGTTCCCGTTCCCGTTCCCGTTCCCGTTCCCGTTCCCGTTCCCGTTCCCATTCCCATTCCCGACACCAAGACACTTCCCCGCGTCTTCCAATTCACCCAGAACGCGCATCTCAAGCTCACTCAGCGCATCCTCACCTGCTCCCTTCCGGCTACTCAGCATCTCCAGCTCGCGCTCGTCGACAGCAACGATACGTTCGCGTAACGCACTCTTGCGACTCAACCAGCTCTCGACGTCTTCCTTGATGTTTTCCTTATCCCAGTCTAGGAGGGCGACTTCGTTGGCTTGGATACCCAACTTGGGACCTTGTTTGCGGACGTTTTCGAGGATGCTGGCGATGAGGGATAAGGAGTGGACTTCCGAAGCGACGGTCAGTGTGATTCTTGTGGCGGATGTGCGGGACGAAGGGTTTGAGTTTATGCTTAGCGCTGAACGGGCGAGTTGCTCGGGGAATTGGTTTAGGAAGGAGGAGATTTCCGCGGCGATGGGTGGGCCGACGGAGAGGAGGAGGTTGAGGCAGAGGGGAAGGATGCCCTTGGTCCAGATGCTGTACATGCGGGATGGGTTGTCGAAGGGTCCCATGCCGTTGGCGCGTCGGTAGTAGTTCATGATGTTTGCGGTGTTGAGTTGGCTTAGTATGCCTTCCACGGCCATGGTCTCGGCGAGGGCTGAGATGCTGGATAGGGAGAGTAGGAAGAGGACGCTGAGCTCGCCGTAGATGGGGTCGTCGACGCCGTTGTGAGAGATTGTTAGGCGGTCGGCCCATGAGAATAGACTGGTGGCGTAGCGCACGGTGTTGCTGTTGGCGAAGAGAAGAGCGGCTTGTTGTTGCCACTTCGACATCTCTGGTATCGCAATGATACGTTGGAGAAGCGCAGTAAGGAGGGCGAAGTCAGATGGCGAGACGGACGCGGGTTCGGCGTGGAGTTGGTTAGCCAGGCTGCGGAAGCCCTTTGCAACCGTGTCTGACAGAATCTCGAGGAGTTGGGTGGAGATGGGTTCCGTGTATTTGTTGTGGCTTGTGGGCATTGTGCCGCGGAAAGAGGAGCGGAATGATGCGTCGTCTGATGTGTCGGTGTCTTCGATTAGATGGAAATGAAGAGCGAGATACAGGATCCGTAGCAGAGACCGGTAGTAGTGCACAGCGTCAGTCGAAAACACGTTCTCGAAGTCGGGCGTAGAAGTGCGGATGGCGTTCCATACTGGAGCGAGTAATTGGCGTGCCTCGCTTGTTCGTACTTTAGCCTCCACCAGCTTCTTAAGCAGTGCGAAAGCCAGATCTGCTCGCAGGACCATGAGCTGGCCAAACAACGCTTCCGGAAGATTCGATTGTTGATTGGCAACCATGCACTTCTGAATGACACCGACAAGGACCTTGACTATGCGCTCATCCTTTGCTACGACTTGGCTCAGCTCAAGAGCCAGTAGCTTCCAGCCTTGGAGCAGTAGGACTTGAGACTCAACGAGGCCAAGGTTGTAGTTGGCCTTCTCCACTTCGGCAGCGAAGCCCGTACCTTCTCTAGGACCTGTCCATTTGCTGTTGAAGCCCAAAAGCTGTTGAGCAAGGTCGATGTCGTAGAAGAAGGCGCGCCCAAAGGTCTCCGGGTAGAGTGTGGTTCGCTTGAGGTTTCCTAATGAGACACCAGGATACTGTTGCTCGAGGTTCTGTTTGAGATAGCCGTGCAAGGATGTACTGTATGACGGTAGCTCCAAAGCAGTATCTTCCAGGTATGTCAGACTCGGCACGACATCCTTGAGCACAGTGATGTCGCCCACTTGCCGCGAGCTGTGGAGGTACATGGCGATGACTTCGCATGCTAACGA